AAAACAACTCGTCAGTTGTATGACCAATACTTCTGGGGTTTCATAACATCATGCAACATCACAATGCCCCACTTTTGCATAGTGGATAGTCTTACATTTCCTCTAACAAAGCCAGGTAAAGTAAAAATAAAGGAGCTGCAACCTAGTGTTTCAGACTGCAGCAAAGGACAGTTTGAGGACAGTGATGCTTTTTCTGAATATGAGAGAATGCAAGTATTTTCAAGCAATAACCCAAATTAAAACAAGGAACCTGAATATGACCCTAATTTGTCTCTAAACTTTGTTTAGCTTAGTTTAGCGCAAAACCTCAGGGGGACAAAACATGGCCAACTCTGTCTAAGGGTAACGGAATTTAAAGCTCAATGACTCCCATGTTACTATGTTTCACTGGTTAAAGTCACCTCCCAAAGTCTCTGAATCCCCTACATGATAACATATGGTTTTACTTTGGCTTAAACAAATAACATACAATATGGTTCCGAGGTGCTGGAAGTTTGGATTTTGTTGCATTTGGATGAAGTCTGTTTCCTTCCATTTCAAGCTTAATGTTTATCTTACCTGCATGAGAGCTGTATCAACCCTCTCATCTAACTCTTGGCGAGAACGAAAATACATTTCAAACTATGCCTTCAACATTTTAGGAAAGTAAATATTATCATCTCTTATATTAAAAACAAAGATGTATAAGATCTTGAAGTCCAGTTTGAGTAGAAAAATGATGATAAAATGTCAGAGTGTAAGAGAAATTAAATCTCTGGAGAATAAAGAGGACAAAGACAGGGGTATTGCATCCCTCTTGCCAATGTTGAATAACCTCTCTTTTACTAACAGAAGACTTTTTAGTCAGATGTATAAGAAACGGCATGATAAAAGCTTTCGCTGCAGTCAAACAAATCACTCACAATGGTGACCACTCTCAGTAAAGTGTCTTTTTTTCTGAGAGCAATGGATAAAATCACGTGGTGTCGCAGATGTCATAGTTCCCATGGAAACTCTCTCTGGATTCATAGAGTTAAATGACAAGCAGGGGAGGCGAAAATATACGCAGAAATACACACACCTTCAAAAGCGCACATACAATTGGCATGACACAAGTGCTACTCAAAAATGGCCCTGTTCACAAAGCGTTGAATTCCCAAACTTAAGTGACACCCGTCTTACAAGCTCTGACACACTTGATATAACCAGCCTGACTCAGTGTTGTCTGAGAATATAAACTCAAACTGTAAAACTCATGTTATTAAATGACATTCTGACCAAAAGCATAACAAAATTGATATAAACCATTTGATATTAGAACGGCAGTTTGAGGCCAAAACACCCCTCTCCCTCTTCTGCTTTATTTATTTTCATTACCATCATTATCACTAGCATTTCAATTAACTTAAATAAGTCCATAAAAGCCATTCCTTATTGTATGACTAATGTAAAAGAATAAGCAAAAAAGGAAATTTTTCACATGATATTAAGGTTTTTATGTAACCTGGTAGCAACAAGGACATAGAGTATAGTTCTGTGACTATATTAATATCTGTCTTTTGCAGCCTCCCAGAGGACATCTATATTATCCGCCCCATCACTTTAACTCATAGTCTGCCAGTGTGCTCTGCAGCAGCTCTTCTGTGACAGTTGATGTCTTTAGGTATACCTGCCTGGTCATATAGCTGTGTGTAATATGATGTAAGGGATGAAACAACACAGGTAGAAAGTCAAGGGTGAAATGAGGAAAGTAAGACACTGCAGGAATCTAAATAGATCAAGTACACAGCGATGAGCATGTGGTCTACAAACAGACACACACAAGCACAGCCATGCTTGTGGGTATGGAAAAACATACACACACAGGCTGCACTGCTATGGTGGAATGCCTATACAAATCATTATCTCTAAAGTTAACCATGAACAATTCATGGTTAACTCTATCCTTAACCTATTTACAGTTCCCTTTAAACCCCTAACCTTAACCAGTGCATCAGAAATTACCTTTTAATTTATTAGGATCGAGTTTTGGTCCCTATGAGGTCCACTGGGCCTGACAAGATCAGAGTTTATGCTGGAAAAGGTCTGAAAGAGGTAACAAAAATGAGCACACTTTGTTTTAGTCCATATGTGGAATCTAAAAATATTGGTATTGGATGCGGAAAGAAAACATTTATGGGTTTTATAGAATCACTCAATATTGGCATTTTTGTGCAGCAATAGATATGCAAGCCTCTTTCCGATACACAACCATACTGTTAAGTATTCACATGAAGTATTTTGACTCTTACTTATCTGGCACCAGTGTGGCTATGAGGCTAGACAGTCTGTCCTTCATGACTTTTTGTCCACAAGTATCTTCCTTGGTAATGATTTCCCAGACATTTTTACTCCCAAAGCTGTTTTAAAATAACCTGTATCTCATGTGATAAAATACCAAATAACACACATAAAAGAAACCATTCATATCCCCTTTTTACATGTGTTTTGTGTGCATGGGAACACAAAAACACATAGACAAATGGGGCTCTTTCTACAGTATGCTACACAAGCACATACAAACAAGCGCGCAGTCAAACAAAGAGCAGCGTTTAGAAGGTGCTGGCACTCGTACGCATGAACACACAGGCACAAAATCACAAGCACTCAGTATTGTTAAAGAAATGTTGCCATGCTAACAAATACCTCTGCTCCAAAATACACACACACAAAAGACAGAGAGACCATTTTTTCCATCCACAGCCATGTGATACGAGCCTGTGTGCTCGTACTATCTGGCTGTTCATGTGAAGACTCTGTCTTGTCTTGGGGAATGAGAAGTAGGCCGAGGTGGTAGATGTGCTCATTTCATACACTATCACTGTGGATCACAGCCAAGGACTTTCTTGCTTCAAATTACCATGCTAGGGAATTTCAGCCATAAAGAATTAATCAGACTTTTAGCAAAATGGGATTATAAAGAAGCTACAGCACAGGTCAGCTACACTGTAATTTATGAGGCTAAAAAACTGACCATCTCTAAAGATGTTGTCACGCTAGTGCTTCAGGGGTTCATACCCTAGATTTGGGCACATTTAAAAAGCAATTAACTTNTGGCCTAGTTTAATTTCATGGCCCTACAGAGGGGTTGAATGGGCTGTCCTTGTTGTCACTCATGAATGTAACTTTTTATCATTCCCACTCCAAGGTCAAATAGGTATTACTTGATATGAGGTACTAAACTTCCCAAACAGATTAATTGATGCTAATTCACTGTTGTAATCACAATTTACTGGGCCAACAACATTCCAAGAAACATTAACTTATAAATAAACTTTTAACAACCAAATGGTGACTGGCAAATCCTATATTTTGAAATCCTATATCTTAGCTCACCAAAATAAATGTACAGTGTACTGTGTTGTGTACTTAGTCTAATATTTCTAATTAAAGAAAGACGCTATATAAAAACTCATGTACAGAATATGTATAGCTCTCACCTACCCAGTAGCTTGAAAGGTGGCACCGAAGTTCGTAAATTGCTCCTTTGCAGCTGCCATTTTGGATTTACAGTGATTACGATGGATTCCCATTGTGAACCTATTTTATAATGAAAAAAAGAAAAGAATCAGAAGCCAAAATAAATGTTCAAACCACTTCTGAACCAACCCTCTTCTCCTCCTCTCATTAATCTATTTTGGAATTTTCCAGTCCCTCATATTTTCATCAAAATATGACTAAATATAGCAACAGATTAAATTTCAGCTGACATTCACACAGTGGTAGAAATAAATTCAGCTGTATAAATGTCACATGTAAGTTTTCTCTGCTGCCTAAACCTGGTTGCCAAGAGCATGGTGTTGATGGGTGCTTCCTGGGAGCTTCAGCTATTGTTGTGTTCACAGGACAAAAGGTTATAATACGACTTTGAGCAGCGCTAATTCTGCGAGACTGAACATAACAGTGACTCACACATCCGTAAAATGACAAGACAGGCTGGCCGCACCAGTGCTAGCTGCTAGTTAGCATGCTAACTAGTAGAAGAGTGATAAAGTTAGCATGGCTTTCCACAGCTGGAGGCAGATTTGGGTTAGCAAATCAATGTTTGACTTTTTGGCTAGATTAGTGGGTAGACAACTGTTTGTGCAAACATTGGCCAGAATAGCACAAACTTAAATAGCCTGTTTAAGAAGCCACAATCAACAGCTAATATTTCCAGAGTCACTAATGGCCTAGTATGCAGGGTATGGTTTTATTGAGCCATTGTGTTGCCCATTATTTTTGAGATCTCACACAATTTTCTTTTTCTGAAAATAACTAGATGATGAGTAACTGATGCTATTGTGTTTTCGTTAATTGGTAGAATTGTGTAGCACAGATTCAAAATAGGCAGAATCCATCTGAAGAGAGCA